CCCCAAAACCCCAAAACCCCAAAACCCCAAAACCCCAAAACCCCAAAACCCCTAGCCCTTAATAAAAATAGAATTCAAACTAAAAATGGAAGGAAACTCCGAAGAACGTAAAAGAAAACAATCTTACCTTAAAAGAGAAATCCTTGACGCGAACTACGATAAAGGAGAGTTTGCAGAATTTATGATGGGCCAGAAACCTGATGGACTGAATGTAGATAATTGGGAAGAGACAGAGCTGATGATGGTCGTAGATGAGTTTGTCAGGTAATTCTAGTGTTTAGAGAGTATAGGACCCATACACCGCTTCCTGTAGAGTATGATGAGGGATATGGTGAGGAGTCTCCACATGAAAGCCAAGATGTTTCTCCAGCTTATGGGCATGGAGAGTATTTAGACACAGAAGAAATTGAGGGAGATATGTATCCAGATGATGGGTCACAAGAACCTCAGAGCCAAATTGATAGCTATCAAGAACATACAGATCCAAATTTTCAACATCCTCATGGTTACCAAGAACCAGCATCTCAAGTAGCCCAGCCTTCAGAGTTTAATAATCCTGATAATATTCCAAATCCGGTTGGAGAAATTCCAGCTTCGAACGCTCCTCCAAAAGCAGAAATCGTTAATCCAGAGCAAGAAGCTCAGAGGCAACATGAAGAGGCTAAGAGACAAGAAGAAGCCAAGATTCAAGATGAGCAGGAAGCACACATGAAAGCACTTCAGCTAGAACAGGTACAGCTCTTCTTAACATCCATAGTATCGGAAGGATGAGAAGCACATTCAGGAGAAACTCCAACTGGAGGGCCAGCTCCAAGAAGCATTTCATAATGAGACGATGTTTGCTCCTTCAAAGAACTTTGCAGATATGAAGCCTAAGTACACCATGGACTATGGAATCAAGATGGGTGACTTTGAAGGAGTCAAGCTGTTTAAGACCAGACTTAACCATGAAAAAGACCTCAAAATTGTAATTAGTGATCCAGAGGTGGTAGATGAAGGGTTCTTTGTGGGGAAACATCTCAGTTTTAAGGTTGAAGTCCAGCCTTTGTCGTGGGCTGTACATAGAAGAGACAAGGATTTTAATATTTTAAGAGACTACCTTGTCAAGGCTTTTCCACATCTCGTGATCCCAGCTGCTCCTGAATTTAATGCCTATAAATCAATGGATAAATCAATGATCAAGAAAAGAGAGCATTTGTTGAATAGATTCATGAATAAATTAATGATTCAAAAGGATTTGAGAGCTTGCCCAGCAGTTTTAGACTTTGTGAGCTATGAAGACTCTAAAGCTTTTACAAAGCAACTGAAGCAAAGCTTAGAATCCGCTCCCAAGCTTAAATTTGTCAGTGAGTTTCCGACTTCAACAGGTATCCACAAAGTGCACATAACGAAGCAAGTAGAAATGCTATGTAATCAATTCGAGAAATACGTTAACAGTCATGAATGCTTGTTCAAAAAGTTTCACTTCTTGGGAAGGAAACTCAGTAGTGATTTAATGGAAGTTGCTAAAACCTTGGATGCATTATCATTCTGTTCAAATAATATCTCAACAATGTACAAGATCGGGAATTCGGATGATATGGGCGATCTATATGGAAATTTGAGTGATCACTTTAAGAAGTGGAGCAAGGACATGCACAACGAAGCGAAGATAAACCTCAAGCATATTCCTCAATACTTTAACTACACTTCCTCGGAATATGAAGGCTATAAGAATCTTTTCAACAACCGAAACAAATTTATAGAGAGGTTTCTTACCAAAAGTAATGATCTTCAAGTAAAGAAAGAAAAACTATTTAAATCTGGCAAGCCAGAAAAATGGTATTTGAGGGATGAAGACATGAAGAGATCAATGGATTTGCTCAATGACAAGACTGAGGCTCTTCGAGTCATGCTTCCTGACCAGACTCAAGAAGTTATGAACTATGAAATAGCCTATACTTATGTTTCCAACCAGTGCTATAGCGAGATTAAGAAGTTCAATAGCCATGAAATAAAGGATCTTTATAGCCACTTTAAAGAATACACTGCTAAAATGAATGAGGTGTTTGAGCAAGAGCAGAAGAACTTGTCTTACTTTATTGGAACACTTCATAGCAAACCTAGTGATCATCCTGAAGAAGACCACAAAGTAGACATCTAGATAAAATTCAGCATAAGTATTATTTTAGGGGTTTTGGGGTTTTGGGGTTTTGGGGTTTTGGGG